ACAATATACTTCAGAGTTAAATCCACCCTATCCTACCACACCTTTGCATTGTTTTTCGCCAGGTGACGAGGTACTTGTGAAGGAGTGGAAGATTGACCCACTAGGACCCCAATTGACCCACTAGGACCCACTAGGTGGAGAGGGCCCTATACTGTGCTGATATCAACCCCTACTGCCATTAAAGTGAAGGAAGTTAAGCCTTGGATACATTATACCCGTGCCAAGCTGGCACCCCCCGTGTGGGAGATAAAAAAGGCAGATCAGAGTGACCTGAGACTCAGGATCATCCGGCAACTCCCTGCGGGGTCAACAAGGCCATGAAGTTGACCTCTTCGGGAACAACAGATCGTCGCAGGTCAAGTATGACGCAGCGTGGCCCAACGAAAGCCCTATCTTGGAAGTGGTGGATAGAAATTATAATGGGGAGGAGGGAAGGGTGCCCTAGAAAACCAGTTGGAGTTTTTCGGGTACATGATGCTTATAAACATGATCACTATGATACAGGGAAATTGGCTAAAAGAACATGCCAGATTCATGTTTGATCAGCATGGAAAAGATGTGGCACTCCTATATGAACATCCAGAGAAAGTAGGTGACTTCTCTTTCCTCCCTACACTAATAGCCGACCCCCAGGTGGTGCTCGGGGGGTTACAAGGAACTATTCAAAATCCCACCATATTTTCCCAGGTCCCCGATGGATTAAAACACATTAAATTCAGACGAATAAGATATACTGCCACCACGAGGGGAATGTGTTTTTGTTGTGCAAACAAGGGTACATGGAATCAAAAATGGAAAGGCTGGGAACACAGAAAAGCCTTCCTAACAAGGTTGACAAATTACACTCACTGTCAGGACAAGTTTTATTTGTATGGAACCTATAACTCTACATATGTTAACAAACAAAATTTGGCAGACACGGATTGGAAAGAACTATACCCTGAGTACCCACTGTTTGAGTCAAATTACACGTCCCTGAGAAATGGAGGCAGTATTTGTTCAGGATGGCATATTAGAGATCCCAATATGTGGTTTTTCTTTGATAAATGGGCAACCAATTTTCATCCAGGAGGAAACCAGTGTGTTGGGGTAGGATACCTGACATTCCCTGTACGAGTCCTTAAACACCCTAGGAGGCTTCAGAGATCTTTGAAAGCCATAGCACCCCTAGGACCTGAGTGCTCAGACGAAGTGATTATAGACTCACAACTGTCCGAAACTGAAGGCTCAAGGGTAGGAGGAGGATTAATAACAGGGCTCCTAACCCTCGGGTCCTATCCTGGAATAATGGCCCAAGAAAACAGGAAAAGTATCATGGGACTCACATGTAGATTAGAGAAAAGCATAAATGCCACAGGGAAAATAGTTAGGCAGTTGCAATCAGAAATTGAAGAACTAAGCCAAATGACAATGCAACACAAGCTAGCCCTAGATTATTTGTTGGCAACAAAAGGAGGATTCTGTTCTGTAATAAAGGGCCAGTGCGTGGTCCAATTTCATAATCTGAACCAAACAATTGAAGATGATTTGGAAAAATTGCAAGAGTTAATAAATCATAATGTAAAGTTAGATAGATGGCAACCTTTCTCATGGTTGACGTCTCTGCTTCCTTCAGTATCATGGCTTAGAGAAATAATACTTGTGATTATGCTATGCGGTTTTGTCTTTCTGTTGCTAATGTGCTGTTTTCCAATTTTGCTTCAAGTTTGCCAGAGATATATACATCAGACAGCTTCAGTAGAGAAGATAGCTCTCATCAAAGGGCATAATTGGAGAGATCCATAGTATATAACCCTTGCTGATTTGCTCTCGCTTTTGTAAACTGCTTCGCAAAAAAAGAAAATGTGGGAATAAGGCAGAAAGGTACAGCTATAGGTAGGCAGAAAGGTACAGCTATAGGTAGGCAGAAAGGTACAGCTATAGTTTTACAAAATGCCAAGGTTTTCATAGAGAAAGGAGAACGGATGGACTTGACCATATATGGGAGACAAAGACAGGCTTTGGTGCCAAAGATGAGTTTTTTGTACAGGGGTAAAGAATCGGTCATGAGACGTGCTGACTTTGCAGAGAGGAACTAGCCAAGGCTAAATTAAGCTTGCCAAGATCAGCAGATGTCTCCAGCTGTTATTAGCATAAGGGGCTTGCTTATTGAGAAACGAAACTTAAAAAGTGTATGAGCTAATTGCTTAACGTAAATATAATATTGACAGCTTTCTTAACCAATGATTTAATCTTTGGGGCGGCTCTTAAAGCCGAACCCCTTTGCATGTATAAAAAAGACACTACCTCTTTGTGCTGGTGTGACTTCCCCCAGAGACGCCTTGTTGCGTCGGAAGTCAACTAGCAGCTGCTAAGCTAAATAAACTTTGATATTCTTGCTGAACCCAGTTGGCTGCTTTCCTGACTCATCTGCGCCTGCAAATCGGACTCGGTTTGAACATTTTGAACATTTTGACAAAGCCTTTGAGCATCGCTCAGGGGAAGGGAAAAGTCTGCTTCATCCCAACAATGGATTCCCCCAGGGAGTAACAAGGCACACCTATAGAATCATAGAATTGGAAGAGACCTCATGGGCCATCCAGTCCAACCCCCTGCCAAGAAGCAGGAATATTGCGTTCAAATCACCCTTGACAGATGGCCATCCAGCCTCTGTTTAAAAGCTTCCAAAGAAGGAGCCTCTACCACACTCCAGGGCAGAGAGTTCCACTGCTGAACGCCTCTCCCGGTCAGGAAATCCTCCTAATGTTCAGATGGAATTTCCTTTCCTGTAGTTTGAAGCCATGCATGTCCTTATTTATTTATTTATTTATTTAGTGTGCTTATACCCCGCCCTTCTCAACCCCCGAGGGGGGACTCAGGGCGGCTTACAAAAGGCACATCTTGGTGCCTACACAAATACAATAACATATAAAACCAGCAATTAAATAGTCAACAATTAAAACACTTAAAAACAACAATATATCACACAATCAATAGCCAATCTCAGACACAGCGTTCACCAACTCAGAGTTCATATTTCGTTCCACCTTGTCCAACTCCTATCCATCATCACAGTCCCTTATTCAACTGCCAGAGTGCCCAAACGCCTGGTCCCACATCCACGTCTTTAATTTCTTTCTGAATGAAAGGAGGGATGTTGCTGATCTGATATCCCCGGGGAGTGAATTCCATAGGTGAGGGGCCACCACTGAGAAGGCCCTGCTCCTCGTCCCCGCCAATCTCACTTGTGACAGAGGCGGGGTCGAGAGCAGGGCCTCCCCAGAGGATCTCAGACTCCGAGATGGGACGTAAAGGGAGATGCGTTCGGACAGATACGCTGGGCCGGAATCGTATAGGGTTTTGTAGGTCAAAACCAGCACTTTGAATTGTGCTCGGAATTGGATCGGCAGCCAGTGGAGCTGACATAGGGGGGTGGTATGCTCCCTGTATGACGCTCCGGTGAGCAGTCTGGCTGCCTCCCGCTGGACTAATTGAAGTTTCCGAACAGTCTTCAAAGGCAACCCCACGTAGAGTGCGTTGCAGTAATCTATCCGGGATGTAACAAGAGCGTGGACCACCGTGGCCAGATCCGACTTCCCAAGATACGGGCGCAGCTGGCGCACAAGTTTTAATTGTGCAAAAGCTCTCCCAGCCACCGCCGAGACCTGGGGTTCCAGGCTCAGCGATGAGTCCAGGATCACTCCCAAGCTGCGAACCTGCGTCTTCAGGGGGAGTGTAACCCCGTCTAACACAGGCTGTAACCCTATGCCCTGTTCGGCCTTACGACTGACCAGTAGGACCTCTGTCTTGTCTGGATTCAATTTCAATTTGTTAGCTCTCATCCAGTCCGACACAGCAGCCAAGCACCGATTCAAGGTCTGGACGGCCTCCTTGGTGACAGGTGAGAAGGAGTGACAGATTTGGACATCATCTGCATAGAGATAACATCTCATTCCGAAACTCCGAATGATCTCCCCCAGCGGCTTCATGTAGATGTTAAATAACATCGGGGACAGGATTGAACCCTGTGGGACTCCACACAACAACGGTTGTGGGGCCGAACAAGTGTCACCCAATGACACCTTCTGGGACCGTCCCTCAAGAAAGGATCGGAGCCACTGCAAGGCAGTGCCCCCGAGCCCCATATCTATGAGGCGTCCCAGGAGGATACCGTGATCGACGGTATCGAAGGCGCTGAGAGGTCCAGCAGAACTAACAGGGACACACTCCCCCTGTCCAGCTCCCTGCGCAGATCATCTACCAAGGCGACCAAGGCTGTCTCAGTACCATGTCCCGGCCTAAAGCCAGACTGTGCTGGATCTAGATACTGTGCCGGATCTAGATGTCCTTGTCTCCAGGGCAGCAAAAACAAGTTTGCTCCCTCCTCCCTATGACTTCCTCTCACATATTTATACATGGCTATCATGTCTCCTAAAAACTGTCTCCTAAAAACTGTCAGACCATCAAATGCTAATCAAGGTGACCAATTGAAACATTCTCACTTAGTTCCAACAGACAAGAGTTCTTTCTCCCACCTGGACATTCCACAGATATATAAACCCCATTTTCCTAGTTTCCAACAGACCTCACAACCTCTGAGGATGCCTTCCTTATATGCAGATGAAACGAAAGGGGAGAATGCTTCTGGAACATGGCCATACAGCTCAAGAAGCCTACAACCCAGTGATTCCGGCCATCAAAGCCTTGGACAATACAGTGAATGGAATTCCAGGCAACTTCTTTCCCCACAAGAACAGCAAGGCTCAAAGAAACCTTGGAAGAGGCCTCAGCCCACTCTTTCCTCGCACTTTTTTCCTGTCCCTTCTTCTGCCTTTCTGTCTCCCTCCTTCCTTCCTTCTCCGCCTGGGTTTAAAAACAGCAACCCAGAATCTAGGCCAGCCTTGGAAGAGGAGAATCGCGCTTTTCGCAGGGCACCTTCGGAGCCCCTCCTGTTGTGGCTGCCTCTGCTGTTGTCATGGTTCCTTCCTCGCAAAGCCTTGGAGGGAAAGGAGGGGAGGCGACGGGGTTGTGTGTGTGTGTGTGTGTGTAACTGAAGAGGCTGGACCTCCAGCCGCTCCATGGCCGGGCGGGATTAAGTTTCATGGCTGTCTGTGTGTTTATCCTCCCGTTACTTCAGGAGGGGAAAGGGAGCAGAGGGGCAGGGAAAAGGCCCCCTTCAAGTCTGGCTCAAAGAGAGAAAACCCCCAGGGCTGAACCAAACAATAACCCTTCAGCTCCAAAGCTACAGCTGAACTCGTGAGGGGGGGAAAAGTGTGTGTATGTGTGGAGGGTCATCTCTGGAGAAGCAACTAAGCGGGAAATTAACCCTTCAGCTCCAAAGCCCACCCGCAGCCGGACTTGGGGAGGGAAAGGGGGGCAGCTCTGGAGACTGAGAAGCAGACCCGGCCTGGTAAGCGAAATGTGCTGCGTGATACATTGTGCAAATGAGTGTGTCTCTCTCTCTCGGAAGCGGCGCCAAGGAAGCAGGCAACATCCCGGCTCTGGCTTTTGTTCCTGGCGGGAGGCGTTGGAGGCAGCCTTTCTGGGGCTTCCTCGGCCCCTCTCCTCCCCCATCCTCCCCCTCCTTTTCCCTGAGGAGGGGGCGTCCTCGAGGCGGCTTGGCTCCTCTTTTTGCAGAGCTTCCAAGGGGCGCCGAGAGAGAAGTATGCCTTTCTATGTGGAGATGGGTCGAAGGGGGCTTTGCTGCTGCTGCTCTTGCTCAGCCTCTTTCCATTTTTTTTGGAAGGAAGGGTGGGTGGGCGCTCCCTGGGAAAAAAGGCAAGGCCGGGTCTTGCATTGGTTGCTGTGTCCTGTGGGGGAAAAGGAGGGAGAGGAAGAGGAGGAGGGAGAAAAGCAGGAGGAGGAGGAGGAGGAGGAGGGAAGCGCCGTGGCCGGCTGGAGAGGGAAAGGTCAGGCCGCCTGTTGCTTCTGGAGCTGGTTGGACTGGCGAAGTTCCAGCAGTCGGACATGAGGGAAGGAGAGGGGAGGTCCTTCAGGGGTGCGGGAGGGAGGAAGGAAGGGGGCAGGAGGAGAAGGAGGAGGAGGGGTTCACCGCGGGCCACGCTTTGGGCCTCGGGAGGAGCGAGGCGGGATGCGGGTCGGTTCTGCTTCAGCGCCGGCCTCGGGTAGGAGGGGTTTGGGGATGTCAACAAAAGCGCCGCTTCCTCTCGGATGGGGATGGCTTCGGGGGTCACAATGGGAACAAAATAACTCTTCTGCCTCCACCCCACCCGCGTGGCCCCTTTTTGTGCTTCAGTCTCCCTCACTATCTTGAGCCTATTGGGGTCCCTTTCTCTCCTTGTTCTCTCGCCCTGCAAAGGCTTGAAATGGGAAAGAAGTTGGAGGGCTTTGGGAGGAAGTGGGATGTGCCCCTGCTTCCTGCGCAGTTGAGGGTGTAGAGGCGAGGGAGGCAGATGAGGCAGAGCATCCTTCCTGGGCCAGTGGAGTCTCGCTTGACTTCCTCTCTGGAATGCTCTTTATAAAGGTGCATCTAGCCAGGCATAGGCAAACTTCGGCCCTCCAGGTGTTTTGGACTTCAACTCCCACAATTCCTAACAGCCTACTGTAAGGGTTCATCTAGGCCAGGTATGGGCAAACTTTGTCTCTCCGAGTGTTTTGGCCTACAACTCCCAGAAATCCTAGCCAATTTACCAGCTGTTAGGATTTCCAGGAGTTGAAGGCCAAAACATCTTGGGACCCACAGGTTGAGAACTACTGGGTAAAACCCATGTGCCGGCAAGACTGCTGACTGAAAGGTCAACAGGTCGAATCTGGGAAGCAGGGTGAGCTCCCGTCTATCAACTCCAGCTTCTCATGTGGGGACATGAAAATAGCCTCCCACAGGATGGTAAAACATCCAGGCAACATCCTTGCTGATGGCCAGTTCTCTCACACCAGAAGCAACTTGCAGTTTCTCAAGTCACTCCTGACATGGAAAAAAAAGCCTACCGGCTGTTAGGAATGGTGGGAATTGAAGTCCAAAACACCTGGAGGGCCAGAGTTTGCCCATGCCTGATCTAGACTATACAATGAGCTCACTGTGGCATCTCTTTGACTGCTATGGCTCAATGCAGTGGGATCAAGGGAGTTGTAGCTTTATGAGGTCTTTCACCTTCTCACTGGTCTAATTCCAAGGATTTTATTCAACCATATGAAAAGTGGCATCAAACTGTGCAGATTTGACATCACTTGGAACTGCTATGGCTCAGTTTTATGGAGCCCTTGGAATTCTTGTTTTCCAAAGTCTTTCGCCTTCTCCCCAAAATATAACTCCCAGGATTCCACTCAACCGTAGCAGGTAAAGTAGCGTCAAACTGCGCTGATTTGGCACCTGGAACTACCATGACTCGATGCTATGGAACCCTGGGAGTTGTGATCTTCCAAGGTCTCAAGCCTTCTCTGTTGTAGTGGTGGTGTCTCACCAAACTACAAACTCCGAGATTCTGTAGCATTTGGCCATGGCAGTTTAAGTGGTGTCAAACTGCATGGAGTTGACATCACTCGGAACTGCCATTGCTCACTGCTATGGAATCCTGGAAATTTGGGGTTTTACAAGGCCTTGGGCCTTCTGTGCCTCACCTGACTATAGATCCCAGGATTCCATAACAGTGAGCTTTGGTGTCAAACATCTTTCATTCTATAGTGTAGATGCGCCCTAAAATGACTGTAGAATCTGGATAGAGGTGAAAAGTCCAGCGTTGACCTGAACTGGAAGCATTATGCACAAATCAGTGAAGGAAAGGCTGTCTCTTTGGGACAGTAATAAAGAAGTATATAATACAGCAACCTCCCTCCCCCTTCCAATCACTTTAGGGCAACACATCCTCAGCAACATTTCCTGTCTTTTAGGTTTATAGCCAGCAGTCAGCGATTGAATCAATCAATCATCAATAAAGTAGGAAAGTAGATTCCCTCCCCCTCAGCTCTCCCATTGCTTATTTCTAGGTCGAGTAGGGTTTTTAATTTCTTGTAATAGCAGAGCCTATGTAGTCAAGGAGCCGATAATTACTTCAGATTTAATTAGCCTGGTATGAGAGAGTGGATTTGTAGATTGCGAGAGCAAGGAGGCTATCATTCCTGAGACATCATTCTGTGTTTCCACTCCATGTTAATTGATTCAGGATAGCAAACGCTCTTGGATCTCATACTCAAAATGAACCCTGCTTGACCTGTCATTTGAAAAAGAAGCAAAAAGGAGCCCAATATACCCACATTGAACTGCAATGTATTAAGACATAACAAAACACTGTTAATTAACTTTGATAATCCACCATTAATTTACTTTTTATACAAATCAGTGGATGATGTGCTGCCACTTTTGCAGTGCCTGCCTGAAAATACAGTTTCAAAACATTTCTTTGATACCACAGGGAAATGCTAGAAGCAAGTGTATGTAGAAAATACAGTTGAACTCTTAGCTGAAGTGCTTGACTGTAGAAGCTAAACTATAAGACTCAATTTAATCAAGAGTTAAATTCAATAGATGAATAGTACAATAAGGTCTATTCTTTTGCAGACAGGAGAACTGCATTCTGCTGTTTCTAGGAAAAGGTAGGCAGTATAATTTAGAAGAAAGACAAGATGTAATTTGTGAATCATTCATTTTGTGTCTGGATGTTTATACTGGTTAGTTACATTGGTATGTGTGGTATTCCTGCTCTGGCGATGCAGAATAAATCATACTTGGAAGAGCGTCATTGCTGGTTTTCAAGTTTCAGCACTGAATTATGAGTGGGCTATATTTAAAAAAACAACAAGTAACGGCATGACGTAGACATCAACATGCATGTTCTTAGCACTGATATGTCTAAGGATGTCCGGCATGCAGAAGAGCAAGATCATGTTGGTACTCTTTATCTCTTTGTGAAAAGTATCTGAATTGTGTGGTGAGCTACTCTCTATACGTAACTTGTAGCATCAAGATGCTCTTTTTGTTGCCTTTTAAACCTGCCATCACTCTGCAGAGCACAAGCAAGAGTCAGACCTACTTTTGCTTAAGACTAGGGTACCAAGTTACAGTCTTCAGCAAAAATAGGTCTGACTCTTGCTTGTGCTCTGCAGAGTGATGGCAGGTTAAAAATGCAACAAAAAGAGCATTTTGATGCTGCAAGTTACGTATGGAGAGTAGCTTACCATACAATTCAGATTCTTTTCACCAAGATAACACATAATGCAAAGAAGCATAGGAAGTGTTGGTGGAAATAATATAAATAGTATAAGCACTTTCAAAAGTCTCTTCCCATGAATAGTCTGCTATATAGTGTCTGCTAACATAGAAGCTATATAGTGCCTGCTAACATAGAAAATATATAGTACATGCTAACATATAACATCTCCCTCCCCCCAGTTGTGATGATGGCGACATGCATATGTCAGAGTTTGAGTGAAAGCAAATAAGAGCAATTTTTGTTTCAGTGCAACATATTAGAATCAGGCTACTGTTTTGGGTGAGGGAACATAGTGTATTACCTAAATTGAAATGACAGTGTGCTAATAAAGTGCCTTAGCCATATATAAACTTATGCATGATTAGACCCCTTTTGTTTATGTTTTGCTATTACCACTATTAGAGAAAAAATCCTATATTCTTCTGATGCTACATAGTTTGATGTATGTGTTTCCTAGACTTTGTATTATAGTTGATCCTGACATTCTTTCCCATAAGAAAATGATATATATTCTTCTTGCCCTAGGTTAGGGTAGAAATCCACACTGTAGCAGTGAAATCAATATCAGGCTTGGGAAAGAATGATAGCACTATTTAAAATGCTAGTATAAGTAACTTTTACTTTTTCTTCTAACATTCTGCATTTTGAAATCTATAGGCAAGAGATCAATGAAGTTTATCCTGTGAGAATTAGTCTGAGTGATGTCTAGTAGGTTAATACCTTATAACAATGTATTTTTAAATCTTTAGATTAAATACAGTTATAAGGTTTGCTCAGTTCATGCAAGCAGCAGTAAAATTCAAACATTTATGGATTTCAAACACAATGTGTTATGGTCTTCATGAAATCAATTGGATTATGTAAACCAGCTGTTTAGAGATTTTAATGTGTTATTCTGTTTCATTTTTACTTTCTGATCTTAGTGCCTTTCTCAATTGTGCTGTGAGTTTGTTACTGTACAAAAGGACTGCTTTATTTTGAATTCTCTGCCATTCCTTGTGCAAGTGGTCAAAATCATCTGGTCAATTGGCACTTGAATAGTCAAAAGGTAGTCAAATAGTGATCAACGATTTAAATCGCTAAATTATTTCAGCAGCAAGAAAGAGGCAGATGCATGTTAAGTATCTGTTAGAAAATATTATTGCATTCTATGCTAGTGTAATTGAGAGTTGTGAGCTGTAAATAATGGGTTCCAAATATACATGTACGTCAGCAATATTTTAGACCCTAAACAAATGTATTT